GGCACAACCCAGCATGATTTTAATTTGTGTAAAATTTTCAAGACAACTGCAACTGTTACATTTCATTGAATAATTTTTGGAGAGTAACAATATAACACTCTGAACTTTGAGATGAAAGGCTACATTCACTACTTCAGCTTTTAATACCTTATTCATCTCCCCCACAAGGAGCAAACAAGACAAGGACTTCCGCAGAAGTACAGGAGAGAAGGAGGCACAAGCGCCTGGGAGAGCCACCTGCCAGGACTGGCTTCTTAGCCTATTCATTTCACCAACTCCTCAAACCTCAGAGGACAAAATGCTCTGCCCTCTCTACCCTGGGATTTGCTACCCAATATATCCTGGCTCACCGCCACGCTCCATGTTGCACCACTTCCTACCCCGGGTTTATGATCAGTGCCACCAAAGTGAGAGTCAACCCCGTCAATGCTATTTCTGGGCTTCACATCCCTATCCATTCCCTTCCTCCCTCTCCTAATTTCAGACTCACTGTTAGTATCAGCCTTTGTAAGACTGACTTTTCCAGGCTTCCCAAAATTTCCTGTCCTGGATCCCCTGCCCTGTTTCCTTTCTCATTAGCCTGTAAACTGAAATACAAACACACACCAAGATTTTGAAACTGGGTCCTAGCCTCTTTTCATGGTTCATGCCGTCTCTCTATGCGGTTTTCCCTGAGGGACGCTTTCTGTTCCGCCTAGTCCTGTCCTTCCCAGGGCTTTCACCCTCAGCTTACAGGAAAATGGACTGCTGCATGTTCTTAGAGTAAACACCAAAAGGAGCTCTGAGTAGAACTGACACATTTTTACTTTCTCAGAAGGAACTGACCAGGCTCTCTCTTGAGTACTGAAAGTCTTCTTTTTGCTCTTTTTCTTTGCCAACATCTTTTCTCTTGAACTGGTTGGACACCACAGAGAAGGTACCTTTGGTGTCATGCTAGAAGCTAGGAAAAAGGTTAGGAAAAAGGATGGGGGTTGCTGGCTATTCAGCTTGTGAGCTTTCACTTTTTTACTTTCTACTTTCAGAACTTCTCCCTCACTACCTGTGCAATGTGGCTGGTGTCTCCCAGCCAGATAGTCTCTGGCTTACTCCTTCCATCATCTGCCAAGATGGAAGGAAGAATGGCTACTTGGAAGGAAGGACAGGACTAATCAATGAAGCAGGACTATGGGTTCTGCTTCTTAGATGTTTAAGTAATCATCTTGTTCTCAATCCCCTCTTTACCCCCATTTCTAGAGGTTACTGGCATTACCAGTTCCTGAGATCTGAGGGGAGGACATGGTCAAAGGTGGCTTATTCAGGGCTGGTAGGCCAGCCCTTGCCTATCTGCTTTGTGGCAATTATCTTCTGACCTTTTCTTTTTGGTTTTATGCTTAAAAAAACAAAATCCCTTCACTGTCCTTTTAAATAAATACATGTGATTAACCCATAATCTTTCACAGGTACAATCTTGAGTATATCTCAAAATTCTATAATTTAAGTATTTTTCTTTGTTTTTGAGACAGGGTCTCACTATTTAGTTTGGGCTGGCTCTGAAACCTGTGGCATTCCTATTGCCTCAGCCTCCCAAGTGCTGGGATTACAGGCGTGCCCCACCACACCTGGCAGTGACTTAAGTATTACTGTTCCACTTCACAAGAAAAAAGAGGCTTGGAGAAGCTATGTTACTTGCTTAAGGTCACCCAGCCAATACGCTACAGAGCTGTAATTTGAACCTATCTATTGAGGTCCATTATGACATGGGAGAGATAGAAAAAAATACAGCCTTGGAAAGCTAAGTATCTTTCAAGAGATAAGGCAAGCAAATGTCAGCACACATACTTGAACTCAGGACGGTCTTACTTCAGAGTTTATATATGTATATGGTATTAAATATACATATACACACACACACACACAC